AAAACTAAATGTCAATTGAAAAGGGCTGCTTCTCAAAGACAGGGGTGAGAGGATATTAGCAACTAAGTTTTAATTAAAATGACTGCTTCTCAAAGGTTTGGGTGAGAGGATATTAGCTAAGTGTGAATTGGAAATAACAGTTTTCTGAAGATTGGAGTGAGAGAATATGAGGAGATTAAATTTTAGTTGAAAATGACTACTTCATAAAGACTGGAGTGAGAGAGTTTGAACAAACTTAATGTCAGTTGAAAATGCTTCCCAAAAGACTGGAGTAAAAAAACTTGAGCAAACATTGGAATTAAACAACTTCTTACAAGGAAAGAGTTATATATGAAACAACTTATTAACAAGTAGTATATTTGATAAAAACTGTACCATAACTACTAAATTGTTCAGTCTAATCGTTAGTCAGAAGATAAAATATATGTTTGTGTTTTTAAATTTGTTGTTCAAAGACCTACCTCGTCACAATGTAAAAGACAGTTGTTACTCCCGAGTTGCACGTCACTTTTCCAGTCTTATCGAAACAATTTTCTTGAAGTTTACTGAACCCAAGCGTTGCATTTATTTTCCACTTCTGGATTCATCGAACATGAAAAAGATACTTTTTTTTTATTTTGAGGGAAATTGATGCCACCCACAAATTATGTACTCGATACTTTTTTGTTGCAAAATCTACTCGATAATAATGTTATAGAGAAAAGGCAACATTTTTGAAGACTAAAGCGTAACAATTCCTCTGAAACAACTGGTCTTTGTCATTGTCGAAAACTTGAGTTCAGAGGCTGGACTCTGAGTCACGCTCAATGGAGTCCACGCGACGTGCACGAGATCTTAGACTTCAACCGTACACGCCAGAAAGGGAACAGCTTGTCAATGACGGATTCTGCGTCGTCCCTTTCCGAAAACTATGGCACGCGTTTTGCCCGCCGCCTGGTGTTCCCTCGTGACAGGACGAATATCACACGTTCTCCACTGTTCATAATCGTCGCATATGTGGGTGAGAAAGAAAGTGTTATCAATAGGCAACGTTCAGAATCATCTGAATGAAACATAATGGTTCATTTATTTTGTATCGTTTTCTGTTACGAGCCTGTGAGCTGATTTTTTGTTTAAGCTATTGAGTTATATTAAAGTACAGTGCCTTCCCGTTTTTTAACTGTTCCATTAATCTTTTAGTGACTCGCAAAAATCATTCTATGGAACAAAAGCCACTTTCTCAAAAGTTGTACAATGTTTTTGTTTCCTTATATAAATTAAACGTGAAAAGAACAAAATAATAAATTAGCGTTGTGAACTCAATGCATTCTAAAGGAAGTAAAAATAATGCTTTTGTCAAACACGTTCGTTCAATAAAACTCTTAATTTGGCAGATGTTGATACTTCTTTAATACTTGAAACAAAAGTGCAAAATAGATAACTCGAAACCTTATCAGCTGTTTTTTTTTTTGTTTAATTTCTTAACATTTATCATAGAATAATTATTAAGTTTGAAAAATGACTTGAGTCTATAAATGTGGAACACACTGAAAAATAAAACATGTTTGTAGCGCCATCTGTCGAGCTACCACAAATTATTTGTTTTTGCACCATCCATTTAGCTCTTTGTGTGTGTGTGTGTGTATGTATGTATATATATATATATATATATACATATATATATATATACTTATA